GGTCCATTCTGGGGCCACGTAGGAGCTCCGGGACCCGCCCTGGCCGGGCCGAGCTCACAGCAGCCGGGGAACAGAGTGATCCGCTGCGCCCGCCGCCCACCTCTCCATCCCAGCTCGGAGCCCGATCTCTCGGGAGCATCGGGGGGGGGCTGTGTGAACCACAGGCGGCTCTGCAGCCAGCGCCATGGCCTCCGGTGGCATCCGGGAACCGCGGCCTCGCAATGAATGGGCTATTCAGCGCCAGGTCGCCACAGCACCGAGAACCAAGTATTCAGAAAGCAACCTGCTCTCCCGGCCCGAAATGGAAAGCCACTCCCAGCAGCTGTGGACTGTCCCGGTGTCACCAGAGCAGCCCTGATGGGGGCACCGCCCAGGGGAGGAGGGCCAGACGGGGCTGACGCGGGGTGGGGACCCCAGGATCCATCACACCCCCGGGACCTGGGACCCGCAAGCCTGGGGCTGTAGAATCTCGGTGGAATTTGCTGGAGGCTGAGCGACTCTGCCTTCCTGGGACATGCGGGAGACAGAGGCTGGAGGCTGAGAGCCGCCCCCATCCATCCCCCAGATCAACGGCACAGACGCGAGGTCAGCAGGGAGCACGCAGGCTGCGTGTGGACCACGGGGCCATCAGCGAGTCGCCTGCGCCATAGAGGAGGCAGGAGGGGCCTCCACGCACAGGACAGGCCGAGTCCCTGCCCCGTGTCCACCGAGAAGTGTGGCGGGTGACTGTCCACCTGGGGTTTGTTAGGAGCTGCCCGCAGCCCCTGGAGCCACAGGCTGCTTTCCTGGGGCCCAGAGACGCAGGCGTCCCTCCTGAGCCCAGAGCGGGGAGGGCCCAGGCCCCAGGCAGCCCTGCTCTCCCACAGGGGAGCCCTCCCCACCCTCCTGCAGGCCCGGATCTGTCCCCTCCAGTCACCTAGTGATGGTGTCAGGAGGCGGGCACTCTGGGAGGCGATGAGGTCATGGAGTGGAGCCTCGTGAATGGGATGAGGAGAGAAGGCCCCAGGCTCTGGGTCCCTTCCACCCTGTGAGGTCACAGGGAGCCGCTGTCTATGGACCAGGAAGGGGCTCTCGCCAGACACTCTGAGCTCGGACTTCCAGCCTCCAGAACGTGAGAAATGCATTTCTGTTGTTATGAGCCACTGGTCTGTGCCATTCGGTTATGGCAGCCCAGAGGGACTAGGTCACCTCCACGAAGCCAGACCAGCAGGGCTGCCCCGCTGCAGGCAGCTGGCGACAGCCACGGCCACCGAAGGACATAGGATGCTAATAAAGGCAACAGGAGCAAGAAGGTTCTGTCATTGCTTAGCGTCAAGAAGCTGGTGTCCTGCCCACCTGGGGTGGCTCAGTGTTGAGCGTTGACCCTAGGAGCCGGCTCTCCCGGGCTCCCGGTCACGGCCCTCCCAGACGGGACGCTAACAGGTTCTGGAGATGCTCACCCTCGGAGCCTCCCGCCCACCCTGCCGGGCGTCACAGGCAGTAACTGCGAGCCCCTCTGCTCCCTCCCGGAGCATCTCAGCGCTGTGTGCAGACCAGGCAGGAGCCGCGGAGGGGACAGGAGCTTCATGGACCTCACGCCACCCCGACGCTATTCTGGCCTCCGGAGGAGGCATTAAACTTTCCATTTGCTCTCTGCTAAGTAGATCCTTCCTTACACATACACGCACGCACACACACGCACACACATGCACACTCACACACACATACGCACACACATGCACACTCACACGCACACACTCACACACAGGCACACGCACACTCACACGCACACAGGCACACACACGCTCACACACGCACACACAGGCACACCCACAGGCACTCACAAACACGCACTCACACACACGCTCACACAGGCACACACAGGCACACCCACAGGCACATGCACTCACACACATGCACACACGCACACACACACACACACACGCTCACATGCACACACTTCGGCTCTGTCTCCATCCACAGATGGGGACACTGTGACTGTCCACGGACACGCTGCTGGGAAACGTGGGTGAAGTGACAGGTGGTCACAGATGAACCCCCGACGGAGCAGGACACACAGAGGTCCAGGGGAAGGAGCTGGGAAAGACGTCCGCGCAGGGAAGGGGTCATGAACAAGACGTCAGCTCCGAGTCTCAGTTTCCTTGTCCGGATGTGCAACGAGCAGTGCCTCCCTTCCTACACCAGAGCATTCTGGGAAGGTGAGTGGGTCGAGTTAGAGGAAACTTCTTGACACTGGATTTTTTCGAACTGTCACTGATGATAATGTTGGAAATTTCAGCAAACATTAAGCATCTAAAGAGAATGCTCTGTACCATCGAGCATGCGAGCTCTGAACCAAGCACGAAGTGTAAATGAAGACTAGCAAGAAAGGTGCCTCCTTTCCCGGGAATGAATCTAAAATGCACTCGTAGTCCGAGCTGAGTTTAGGGTTTGCGTTGGAATTCTTACAACTTGGGGAGATCTGCTTTGGAAAGTGTTCGCTGCGTTAATGAAATGATTTGTGGGGCATTTGTTAGACCCACTGTCGGGTTTAGATGGGGGAGCCCAGGGGGTGGTACAAAACACAACCTATGCAAAGAAGAGGGAAGCTGTTTAGAGGTTATCGGTCACCCTCCTGCACACTGTCGTGTGTAAGTGTTGGAAAGCGCTGGGCATTTATCAGGGAGGCGCAGGTGTCTGGTGTGAACATGCGGGCTCAGCAGGCCACTGCATCCCTACGGCCTGGGTGTAGTCTCTACGAGAAGGTTCAGCTGCTCCAACTCATTGCCCAGGAACTGCCCCAGATGGTGCAGCTAATCTCCCATCAGACATCTGCTCCTGCCGGGATGGGCTCCAGGAGCGTGGGTCTGGGAATCTTGGCACCCCGAGCTCCCAAGATTATAGTCAGAGCCGATAAACAAAAATGGCCACAATTCCCGACCCATCCGTGTGCGCATGCCCCTGGCAATGTGACTTTGCAGCCCCTCCAATCAAGAGGCGGAGTCTCTTCCCTGCCCCTCGAACCTGGGCCAATGGGACACGGCACAAGAGATGGTGCTTCTGTTCTGAACCTGGGCCTAAGGGCTGCAGGCTGGGGCCATGCCACGGCCACGAGAGTAAGTCCAAGACGAGACGATGTGGAGGGAGACCAGGTGACCAGCCAAGGCCGTTCTAGAACCCCCCAAGCATGTGACAGCATCCAGCCTCGCTCAGCAGAGCTGATCACAGACACACAAGTGAGCCAAGCTGGGAGCAGGAGGACGCTCAGCCGACCGACTCATGAGCAATAGTAAACGCTTATCGCTTTAAGCCGCTGAATCTTAGGGTGGTTCGTAACGCAGCAGTAGCTGACTGGTTCGACAGCTACCCCCACCCCCTCTTCTCCCCTCTTCCCGTCCACTCCACGGGTCCAGGCCACAGGACTGCATGCCAGCCTCAGTTTCCCTGCCTGTGCTCCAGTTCCCCGTCAGGACTATAGACCGGCCTCCTATAGCTTCTAGGATCCTGCCTAAATCTAACCCAGCTCCCGGAAATGCTTTTCCCTCTTACACCTCAGTGTTGAGCGTTGACCCTTGAACCAGGAGGTCATAGTTCGATTCCTGGTCAGGGCACATGCCTGGGTTGCAGGCTGGATCCCCAAAGAGGCCTGCAGGAGGCAGCCGATCAATGATTCTCTCTCATCATTGATGTTTCTCTCTCCATCTCCCTCTCTCTGAAATCAATACAAAAATATTTAAAATATTTTGTTTAAAAAAAGCTAATGTCCTTAGAGAGGAGAGAAAGCACAATTCATCGCTGTCTGGGCCGCTCAGGGCCCCTGCAGACCCACAGGCCGACAGCAAGGCCTCGGCAGAGCCCGCCTCGTGCACCGCCGGCTTCCCTGCTGTGGGGGCTCGAAGGGCGCTTGCCTGGGAGGCTGGGGCTGGCCATGGCCAGCAGCGTGACGTCAGTGGCAACAGTGATGACTGAATAGCAACAACAGCTCACGTGTGCTGGGTTCTAAGTCCCTCATGTGCATTCATTCCATGAACCACCACAGCCTGAAGGAGGTGCACTCGGCTCTGTCTCCATCCACAGATGGGGACACTGTGACTGTCCACGGACACGCTGCTGGGAAACGTGGGTGAAGTGACAGGTGGTCACAGATGAACCCCCGACGGAGCAGGACACACAGAGGTCCAGGGGAAGGAGCTGGGAAAGACGTCCGCGCAGGGAAGGGGTCATGAACAAGACGTCAGCTCCGAGTCTCAGTTTCCTTGTCCGGATGTGCAACGAGCAGTGCCTCCCTTCCTACACCAGAGCATTCTGGGAAGGTGAGTGGGTCGAGTTAGAGGAAACTTCTTGACACTGGATTTTTTCGAACTGTCACTGATGATAATGTTGGAAATTTCAGCAAACATTAAGCATCTAAAGAGAATGCTCTGTACCATCGAGCATGCGAGCTCTGAACCGAGCACGAAGTGTAAATAAAGACTAGCAAGAAAGGTGCCGCCTTTCCCTGGAATGAATCTGAAAAGCACTCGTAGTCCGAGCTGAGTTTAGGGTTTGCGTTGGAATTCTTACAACTTGGGGAGATCTGCTTGGAAAGTGTTCGCTGCGTTAATGAAATGATTTGTGGGGCATTTGTTAGACCCACTGTCGGGTTTAGATGGGGGAGCCCAGGGGGTGGTACAAAACACAACCTATGCAAAGAAGAGGGAAGCTGTTTAGAGGTTATCGGTCACCCTCCTGCACACTGTCGTGTGTAAGTGTTGGAAAGCGCTGGGCATTTATCAGGGAGGCGCAGGTGTCTGGTGTGAACATGCGGGCTCAGCAGGCCACTGCATCCCTACGGCCTGGGTGTAGTCTCTACGAGAAGGTTCAGCTGCTCCAACTCATTGCCCAGGAACTGCCCCAGATGGTGCAGCTAATCTCCCATCAGACATCTGCTCCTGCCGGGATGGGCTCCAGGAGCGTGGGTCTGGGAATCTTGGCACCCCGAGCTCCCAAGATTATAGTCAGAGCCGATAAACAAAAATGGCCACAATTCCCGACCCATCCGTGTGCGCATGCCCCTGGCAATGTGACTTTGCAGCCCCTCCAATCAAGAGGCGGAGTCTCTTCCCCGCCCCTCGAACCTGGGCCAATGGGACACGGCACAAGAGATGGTGCTTCTGTTCTGAACCTGGGCCTAAGGGCTGCAGGCTGGGGCCATGCCACGGCCACGAGAGTAAGTCCAAGACGAGACGATGTGGAGGGAGACCAGGTGACCAGCCAAGGCCGTTCTAGAACCCCCCAAGCATGTGACAGCATCCAGCATCGCTCAGTAGAGCTGATCACAGACACACAAGTGAGCCAAGCTGGGAGCAGGAGGACGCTCAGCCGACCGACTCATGAGCAATAGTAAACGCTTATCGCTTTAAGCCGCTGAATCTTAGGGTGGTTCGTAACGCAGCAGTAGCTGACTGGTTCGACAGCTACCCCCACCCCCTCTTCTCCCCTCTTCCCGTCCACTCCACGGGTCCAGGCCACAGGACTGCATGCCAGCCTCAGTTTCCCTGCCTGTGCTCCAGTTCCCCGTCAGGACTATAGACCGGCCTCCTATAGCTTCTAGGATCCTGCCTAAATCTAACCAGCTCCCGGAAATGCTTTTCCCTCTTACACACCCACTCCCAGAGGTGGGGGCGGGAGCGGGGTCCTAATAGGTCTCCAGGTCGTGGTCCTGAAACTTCCAACTCTCTCCACCACCACCCGCTTCCGGGTGGCACCCACTGGCTGGCTCGCCCCTCCTTCTCCCCGGGATCTGTCTTGTTGAAATCCCGGCACAGTGGTCCTGCCCACAGTGTAACTGCAGTTACTCAAAAGAACGGACTGTCCAATGGAGCCCAAATCGGCTCTTGTAGGTGGAGGGCCTGGTCCTGCGGGTGCTCCGGGCGCCACCTCCAGCGCATGGGCCCCAGCGAATGAGCAACAGCTCCGGGAACTGACTGGGCACTGCCTGGCCCTGGGGGAGGGGGGAGGGAGAGGGGGGTCCGCACCCACCTGAGAAGCGTCCTGCGGGAAAACCGCGTCAAAGGCGAACATCTTGGGAGGCACCTGGCTGCCTCTCTTCTGGAAGGCGCTTTGACCTCCGCATGCCAGGGGGTCGTACAAGGTGACCTGCTTCTTGCGGGGGTCCACCTTCAGGAAGGAGCTGGACTCCGAGGTGTCGCGGGCCAGCGTGGAGCAGATGCGCAGCATGACCTTCACCTGTTAGGGAACAGGGAACGGGACAGACGTGGACTGAGGCGGACGGAACGTGCATGGGGCCTTCACGTGATAAATGACGATGTGCCTGATGAACCCGCAGCACGAGCCTCCGTGGGCTGTGGGGGAGCAGGTGCGTTTACAATTGCCAGGTCGCCTATTCGGTGTGCCCTGGGCTTTATTACAGAAATGGCACGGCAGGCTCTTTGCCCCCCTACTCATATAAAGCGGGAAGAGCGGCACCCCAGTGGCCCAATTACGTAGGAGAAAAGGTAGCCCGACCGCCGCCTCTCGGGGCTGGTGTCGTCCCCGAAGCGCACAGATCAATGAGCCCGGACATAAAAGTTAGCTCTGCGATTTGCTCCTCGCCTCCGCGCGTCGGGCCTCGGAGGAAAACCCACATGATTAGTGTCATCGTTAAGGGCCTGTGCAGGGGCAGCCTTTCATGGCAGCGTTTGAAGTGTGTTCCAAGGGAGCCGCGAGGAGAGGTTTGTTTGAGCTGGTATTTGGGGTCCCATTAAGTGAGCGCATGGAAGTCGCCTCTTCAGGGCACAGAGGCACATCTCAGTGGGGGACTGACCCACGCCTGGCAACGGCACATGGACGTCTCCAGGGCTCATGACCGGCCCCCTCCTCACGGCCAAACGTGCTACCTATGGGAACGCCCGCCTGCCCTGGGCCTGAGCTGAGCGGAGTCAAGCTGAAGCCACACATGCAGCTCTGGAGACTCGGGTCCTGGGACAGGGACAGCGCTGACGCCCTGACCAGCTCTCTGTTATGATGCCGCTAGTTCAGTCCAACGGTGTTGAGCATCTACTATGTGCCAGGCACCAGCCTAGGCATGAGGGCTGCAAAGACACACGATACATAACGTGGCAGGGCAGACAGACCATTTCCGTGACATGATGGGGCCCATTCTGAGCCTGTGCACTGATGTCTAAGTTCACCGATTTTTAATTTTTTAAAAAATACGTTTTCATTCATTTCAAAGAGAGGAAGGGAGAGGGGGAGAGAGATAGAGAAACATCAATGATGAGAAAGAATCATCGATCGGCTGCCTCCTGCACACTCCCCACTGGGGATCGAGCCCACAATTCGGGCAT